GCAAATCACCTGAGGTTGGGATTTCGAGACCAGCCTGACCAACATGGAGTGCAGAGATCATGCCACTGCACTCCAGCCTAGGCGACAAAGCAAGATTCTGTCTCAAAAAAAACAAACAATGTCTAGGGGCCTGGGATGCCAGACCTGGCTCTCCAGGAGGGCCTGGCACCTGGGAGCAATAGATGATGGATGTATGGGTACAGGGTCTGCCTCCAAGGGGCATCTGGTGCCCACCCAGCCAGGCTGACCCTCCCAGAGAACACCGCGAGCAGAGTCCAGGCAGCTCAATGTCTGGTGGTCCCTGAGCCGTGCTTACCAGCTGAGTGCTGTTCGACTGAGGCAGTTCCACTGTGAGCCCACCCAGGCGGCAGAGACTGGGGTCCCAGTGCCAAGAGGCTGGGAATTGGGTATCATCCAGGGGTTGGGGAGTGTAAGGGGGGCAGCAATGGTCAGTGCACTCCCCTGACACCCCACCGTGCAGAGGCATGTGGCCCAGGACCGTGTGGTTGTGGGGTGGGAGAGGGCAAGGTGTCCAGAACTGGGGAGCAGCCGAGCTTGGAAGTCTGACCCCACCCTCCCAGCTGGGAGAACGTGGGCGAGAGCCTTTGCCTCTGCACTTACCACCCCACCCCACAAGCACTGTGGTAGTGGTTTCCCCAAAGGGGTCCTGAGGGTTCTGGGCCCAGAACTTGGGGTGGGTACAGGGCTGTGGCCACGTGGGGCTGACAGATTCTGGCCCTGGTGCAGACGCTGAGCACCTGAAGACCCTGTGCCTGTCCTACAATGCCCTGGGAGCCCCATCCCTGGCCAGGACCCTGCAGAGCCTGCCCGCCCGCACCCTCCTGCACCTAGAGCTCAGCTCCGTGGCAGCCGGCAAGGGTGACTCAGGCCTCATGGAGCCCATAGTCCAATACCTGGCCAAGGTACGAGGTGGGGAAGGACCCAGAAAATACTGAGCCTCAGAGGCCAAAGGTCCCAGGGGAGCTGGGAGGAGCTCACCTCTCCCCAGATTCCGACTGAACTCACTGAAGGGCTCTACAGAGAGGGTTAGAGGTTTGGAGGTTTAGAAAAAACAGCTGGGGGGCCAGTCGCGGTGGCTCACGCCTGTAATCCCAGCACTTTAGGAGGCCGAGGCAGGTGGATCACAAGGTCAGGAGTTCAAAAGCAGCCTGGCCAACATGGTGGAACCTCGTCTCTACTAAAAATAAAAAAATTAGCCGGGCATGATGGTGGGTGCCTGTAATCCCAGCCACTCGGGAGGCTGAGGCAGAGAATTGCTTAAACTCGGGAGGCGGAGATTGCAGTGAGCCGAGATCGCGCCATTGCACTCTAGCCTGCGACAGAGCGAGACTCCATCTCAAAAAAAAAAAAAAAAAGCAAAGAAAAAACAGGCCGGGCACACTGACTCATGCCTGTAATCCCAGCACTTTGGGAGGCCAAGGCAGGTGGATCACAAGGTCAGGAGATTGAGACCATCCTGGCTAATACAGTGAAACTCTGTCTCTACTAAAAAATACAAAAAACTGGCCGGGCGAGGGGGCGGGTGCCTATAGTCCCAGTTACTCGGGAGGCTGAGTCAGGAGAATGGTGTGAACCCGGGAGGCGGAGCTTGCAGTGAGCTGAGATCCGGCCACTGCACTCCAGCCTGGGCCACAGAGTGAGACTCCATCTCAAAAAAAAAAAAAAAAACCGCTGGGGGAATGCTTTTGTACAGCTGCTTGTCTCAGCTTTGAATTCCTGCCCACCAGATAGGACCTGGGACCCAGGGTGGCCTTGCCCACCCATAGGCAGGTCCCAAGGGGCACACTAGGGGCCCCTGATACTCTCTCCTGGGGGGTCTTCCAGGCCCAACTGGGACCCTATTTTCACACCACCACGTGCAGAGTGTGACCCACATCGGGAGAGGTGTTTCCTTCCGGTCTCCAAATTGATGGGTGACTCTGCTCCCTTTTGGGCCCCTGGGTGTGGGTGCATCTGCTGGAAGCAGGGAGGGCAGGTGCGCCACTCGGTTTGGCCCCCTTGGGGCTCTGCTCATGTCCAGGAAGGCTGTGCTCTGGCCCACCTGACCCTGTCTGCAAACCACCTGGGGGACAAGGCCATTAGAGACCTGTGCAGGTAACGCCCCTGCCCTGCTGCCTGCTGGCCTGGGGGTCTGATCACATGGCTCCGGACCCCAGGGGAGCTGGGCTACGGGAGAAGGGCCACAGAAATGGTACCAGCTCTTCCTCCCCAGCGCGTCCGGAGGCATGGCTCCTTCAGTTTCCACCAGCCTCTCAGGCTGTCCTGGAAGGCAGACTATCCTCGGGCTTCTTAGCTTGGGCCTGTGGCTCTTGACAGCGCCCCTCTGGGCGTGTCCTTGTCACTGCTGTGCATCGGCCCACATGAGGGCCACTGCTCTTACCACCTGGAGCCTCAGTCAGCTCTCCAGGGAGTGCTGAGAGGAGCCCAAGCTGGGCCAGGCACACCCAGAGCTGGCCACTGTGGCCCTGACCCCTGGGAAGGACCCCCAGCCCTAGAGGGGCACCTGTCCCTGGGCCTGGCCCAAGGCTCCCTGAGCTGGGCATTTGTCAGGGCAGCTTTCCTAGTGTTGGGGCACTGGCCTCTGGAAGCCAACCTTTGCACTTCTTCCCACGTTATCTCAGATGTCTCTCTCTGTGCCCCTCACTCATCTCGCTCGATCTGTCCGCAAACCCTGAGATCAGCTGTGTCAGCCTGGAAGAGCTCCTGTCTACCCTCCAAAAGCGGCCCCAAGGCCTTAGCTTCCTTGGCTTGTCAGGTGAGGGCTGCTATGGTGGCCATGCCTGCCATGTTTGGCCTTTTCAGGGACCTGCCTGAGACCCGGGGGCCTCCTCCTAAGGGGCTGTCACTGCTACCAGCCAGGCAGCAAGGCTGGGCTCCATGAGGCTGGGGCAGCAGGGGGCAGAGAGACAGTGACAGAAAGGGGGCATGATCCCAGCTCCTAAAACCACAGGGTGGGGGCGAGGTGGGTCTCTGCCTCTGGTCTCCAACCCAACCTTCAGAGTAGACTCTGGCAGGCAAGGCCCCCTTCCACAGGGACTTTCTCGTCCCTGGCAGGAAGAGGGAGCCCAAGGTCAGGGTGTTGAAAGCTGCCAAGGGACCCCCCCACTTCCTGGCAGGGGCTCCTCCGACACAACCCTGCCCAGGCTGTGGTCTCATTCAGCTTGTTTTCTCTTGAGCCACATCAGGGCAGTCCCCAACCTGAGCTGTCTGGAAGACAATCCCAGGGACCTGGCTTCCCAGCTGGGGCCAGGGCAGGCTCTGCCCTCCGGGGGATGAGGGCCGTAAGTGAATGTAAGAGCACAAGGGGGAGCTCTGCTGTCTTCCTGCGCCCCGTCTTCACCCCCGAGGGCCAGACCGCCTTTTCCAGGACGGCGCCCGAGTGCTGGTGGGAGATCCCCTGCCCCCACTTGGGTTCCTGGCATCTGTACCTTTCCACCCAGTTCCCTGAATTCCTGAGCTTAGTGTCCTCGAGCCACTCAGGCCCACCATGTACAGATTTGCAAGCAGCCCCATTATGTCTTTATGGGTGGAGACTGACGTGTAGGCATGGACTTCGAGATCGGGCACCGTCAGAGGCAGAGGCACCTTCCTCCTGCCTCAACGCTGGCTGTGCAGAGGAGCCCACTCCTTCCTGGAGTGTCATGGGGCCTCTCCTGGGCTCTGCCCGCTGCCCCTCACTACAGCCCTGGGTCCCTCACGGAAAGCGAGTTTGTTCCCTGGAGCCTGCCGCGGGCACCGGGACGCCGCCGGCCCCCGCAAGCGCTGAGG